TTTGTTTGTTTTTTAAAAAGCTAAAGTGGATAGAGAGAAATACTGTTAACTGATGGTACATGGAGGGGAGTATAATCATTGTAATGAAACAATGTATACAATTTGTTGAATGTAAAATTGATGATATGCCCTGTAAACGTTCACTCAATCCACAATAAAAACCTTTAATTAAAAAGAAAAAAGAATGAAAGACAAAAAAACAAAACAAACAAACAAACGAAAAAACAGGTGAACTATGCATGGGAGCACAGAGAAAAAGCATTAGTAAATTCCTCTCATTACAAATAACAGAAAACCAACTCCAGTTTTGTGACAGAAAAAGGACAATATCATCACACCAGAAAATGAAGAAATGATCACACTATGAGGGACATTATCATCACACCAGAAAATGAAGAAATGATCGGACTATGAGAATGTTTGATGGGGAAGGGTGTGTGTAAGGTTGACTAAGCTTCTTGGGCTGTTTACACTAGTGTGTTTGGTGTGAAAAAATTTAGAGTTGAACAAATACAATGTATGCACTTTACTCTGTGTGTACAGAAGATTTCAAACTCATACAAAAGTAAGCATCCCACTTTACTATGAGCCAGCTTCAATATCCAAACTCCATGGCTAATCTTGTTTCCTCTTGCTTTGTGTGAAGGGAGAGTATTTAAAGAAGAAAGTTTTGAATGTGAATGTTTCCATGACTTCCAAGAACTGTCCATTCCTCAGGTCTTCGACTTTCTATTGTTTTAAATCCCGTTAATGGGTCTGTCCTCTGATGGCTTTTGTATTGGAGACCTCTTGTGGCGCTATAGGATAAGCACTGGACCCTAACTAAGGTCGTTAGTTCAAACTCACCAGCTGCTCCTCGGAAACTTTATAGAGGGTCACTGTGAGTCGGAACCGAATCCACAGTACTTAACAATATTGAGGGAATAAGAGCCCAGGTGGCGCAGTGATTAATCGCTGTACTGGTCGGAGGTTCAACTCACCAGCTTGCTCCTCAGGCGAAAGATGCTTTCCATAATGGTTACCAAGTCAGAAAATCAAACCCACTGCTATGCTATCAAATCATATCCACCCTGTTGGACAGAGTAGAACCACCAGTAGAGTTTCCAAGGCTAACACGTTGACAGAACGGGCAGACTGTCATATCTTTTTCCCTCAGAGCAGCTAGTGGGTTGAAATGATCTTTTACCAACTCAGCGCTTAACTGCTGCGCCACTAGGACTTCTTCCCAGCCTAGGAAATCCTATAGAGCGGTTCTATTTTGTTTTCTAATGTCGCTACGAATCTAAAAGGACTCCACTTTAGGGGTTATACTAGCGATATGGAACTGAGTAGCAGAGAAAAATGAAGCGGCTAAAAGGCACCAACTTCTAGCTATATTATTTTGCGATGGGAATAACCTATGATATCATAGACAAAGTTAAGCTTTTACTCTTCATACCGAGAGATTATTTCAAGATCAGTGCTTAAACTGGATAGAAAATAACCGTATTAGACTTCAGCTCAAAGAACTACAAATCCCAGAAGGTCTTTCGGCAAGGGCGCCCGCGCATTGCACATTTCTTCCTTTTCCCCGCCTGGTCACCAGGAAAGGTCCGCCCCGCGGTGCTGTTGCTCGTGCTGGAAGAAGCGGAAGAAGATGGCGCTCACCAGGTGGGTTGTTGATTTGGTTCCTCAATACGGAAGGGTCTTAAAATACCCTTTTTTTTTTTTTTCTCATTTCCCTATCCATACTTTCCGGGCGGAGACCCGGCCTTGGGAAGAGAGCGACGTGGGCCAAGACTATGCTTAGACCCTCCCCGCCAGCCGCCACGGCGACTAGGCCTCGCTGAAGCTGGGGTCTTTCCTGAGCGTCTTCCCCGGTGGAGATCGCCCCTCACTGAGGCCGTAGCCGTGGCGTGGCGACTACTAGTTTCCTGGCCCAGATGCTTCGCCTCACGTACACTTCAGTTAAGCGTCGTGAGGGGTGTGAAGAGCGCTCTCTCAAGTCGACGGCTTGGGTGAAAGATGGGGATGTGGGCAGGACAGTAGCTATTTGTCTGGGTGGAGTGAAGCCGGCGGGAAGCGACTCTGCAGCCTTCTAGCCGATTTCTGCCGAGGTCCCTCTCCTTTTTGTTTATTACATTTTCTGAAACCAGGATTCCAAGAGGCCAGGAATTGGGTAAGGATTTTAAATGAGCCTCTGCAGTAGCTGCTGTCAAGGAATTTGCGCCTCTGCTCGGCGCTTTAACTTTGGACCTTAGAATTTCTTCCCTAGATAGAACTACTTCCGATTTTTGCTGTTCTGGGTTGCCTTGGTAACCGTGTGTCAAGGGTCCACGCTTTGAGAAAAAGGTGCTCTGAGTTGCAGATCCCAAGAAGTTACGTAACTCCCTGAGAACGCAACAGTAAAAGTCTAGTGTCAGCGAGGATTGTAAAGAAAGTAATCATTTTAGGACATCGACTTGGGCTCCCTTATCACACCTTGTTCTCCTCAAGTGTGTTTTTCCTGGCGGGTGACAATTATGAATCCGAAAAGTGTTTTAATAAGATAATTCATTTGGATGTTGCTATTAACTAGCTGTTCCGCGGGAGAAAGATGAGGCTTTCTGCTCCCATAAAGATATACTGCCTCGGAAACCCTGTTCAGGGTCGCTGTGAGTCGGAACCGACTCCATGGCACATAATAACAATAGGGTGCCTTGCCCCTGTTATAGGAGTTGTGGTTTGTACAGAAGGAAATACATCGTTGACTGCAAAGACACTGGAGAGCAAGACATACAAATGTGAACAATTGAAGGACAACATAAACCTAACTGAATGAGGATGAGTTGTGTGAACTGGAGAGTTTCCTTTAGTAAATGTTACAGGCAGTTGTTGTGTACTGCTGTGTTGTGAGTCAGTTTCAACTCCTTGTGGTTGGGTTTCTGAGGGCGTCTTGTGTGTTTGAATTGTCTACCTTGGTTAGCTGTCCAGTACTAGTAGAAAAGTGGAGTTGGAAATGGACACACAAGAAATATACCAGAAATGTCATGTGTATTGTGTATTACTGTCATACAATGTAATGTTGAATGGCTAGCCTTGGGAACCACATAGCTTTCTGATTTTGTTGAATAGTTGTGTGCCCTCAAGTGGATTCCAACTCCTAAATAGATTCCATGTGACGGAATAGAACTGTCCCTTATGATTTCCCAGACGGTAATTGTTGTTTGAGGGATCCAGTGTGGCGCTGTGTGCTAATGCCTTCAGACTGCAAAGACGTTTGAACTGCAATGTCAGTGGTTCAAACTCACCAGCTGCTCCTTGGAAACCCTATACAGGGTTGTTATGGGTGGGAATCGACTTGATGGCACTTAACAACTATCGTTGTTTAAGCAGATCAATGGGTCTTTTATACTGTGGAGCCAGTCGTGGGTTCAAACTGCCCACCTTTTGGTTAGCAGCCTAGCACTTAACCATTGTACCACCAGGGCTCTTGTTTTGTTGAATTTGTTCTAGGGTCCTGGGTGGCACTATGAATTAATTCGCTGAACTGCAAAGTCCGTCTGAACTGCAAGGTTGGCAGTTTAGGCTCACCAGTCTCCTTGGAAGCCCTATACAGGGTTGCCATGGGTGAAACCGACTGGATGGCAAGTTCTGGTCTCACATTTACAGCTGAGGTGTTATTTACATATTATTTCCAAGATCTAGCAAGGAATCAGCAAGTCATTACATATAAATATGCCAGTCTTGGTGTTGCCAATGATGTATTACTAATACTAAAGGTTTAAAGTGTAATTGATTTGATTTCCTGTACTTCAAGTTATGTATATAGTAAAATCACGTGCATTCAAAGTGGTTTCTTTAGTAAAGATAAAAGGGTAAATAAAGTAGGATTTCTTGATTGTGGCACTATTGATATATTAGACTGGATAACACACTGTGTGGGGCTCCCGGTGCATGGTGGAATGTTTAGCAACATCCTTGGTCTCTGTGCACCAGCTGTCAGTGGCACTCCCCTCCTTCCCAAGTCTTGACAGTCAGAAATGTCTCTAACCATTGCCAATATCCCCTGGGGGGTAAATTGGCTACCAGTTGAGAACTAGTAGACAGAGTACTGTGCATCTAACCAGCAGTCCTTTTTATCTCTGCTATCTGAAGGCCAGCTTCCCATCTCCCCACAGTACGACTTTAGGAGACTGTCATCCTTTCTAGGGAACAACAAAGTTAAGACCCTCTGCAAGGCTAGAGTTTGTTCTCACTGTAATCTAGGCTTTGCTACCTGTTTTCTATTACCAAAGCCCTCGGCTTCTCTGGCAGACTGGCTGCTTTTTGGTCATTCTTTTTTTCTTCTAATTATCTGTTCTTCCAAAAAAAAAAAGGTTTAAAACAGGTAAAAAGAAATGAAACAAAAGTAAATATTTTGGGGTTTTTGTATCTCTTTATCTTTATATCTTTATGTCTTAGTTACATATGATTTACTGGAAATGAGTTTGGTAGAAGCCCAAGACTTTTGACTCTTACGTATTCATTCATTCATTCATTTAGTTACTTGGTAAATATTTCCTGAAGGTTTACTATGTGCTGGACACTTCTGGTGATACTTTGTAGTACTGAGTCAGGCAAACTCCTTTTGTCATAGAGCTTATGTTCTAGTAAGGAGATAGACTATATGTGGTAAACATATCAGTAATGCAATTTCACATATGTGATAGGGGTACAATAAGAGAATAACTCAAGGTACAAGGGGGAGTGGCCTGTTTTATTCAGGGTGGTCAGAAGACAGAGACAGGTATAATTGAGCAGCGACATGAATGCTAAGAAGCAAGCCGCAAAAAGATCTGGGAAAAAGTTTTCAATAGAAGCATTATAAGAAAAATTGTCCTTAATAAATAGAATAATGTGTGGCAGAAGGAATAGCATATGTAAAGGTCATGAGGTGACTTGTGTAAGGAAAGGCCATAAAGGTGGTGAATTTGAAAGATTAGAGTGGATTTATTTCTCCTGGAACATTGAAGGGCCCCTAATGTAAACCAGGCAATGCGTGAGGACTTAAGGATGGAAGACGCATGAGGCATGATCCCTGCCCTCCAGTTGCTCACAGATGTGACAGATGGATAGTGAATTGTTAAGTGTTGTTGAGTTAGTTCAGACTTATAGCAAGCCTGTATAGGGTTTCCGAGGAGCAGCTGGTGAGTTTGAACCGCCTATCTTGTAGTCTACTGCTTATCCTACAGTGCCACACAATAAGATAGGGTAACCCTATGGGGCAGTTCTTTGTCCTACAGGGTCACAATGATTCTGAATTCACTAGACAGCAGTGGGTTTTGTTTGGTATTTAGAGGGTTAGTGTGTACATTCGTGGGGGCAACTTAAATAAGGTAAATCTTGGAACCACTTTAAATAACCAGACACTTATGAAGCATGTATTGAACCATGTTCAGACACTTTGCCAACTAGTTCATGGATTTTGTCATTTAATACTTCTAACAACCCTGTTCAGTAGGTACTACTATCTGTCTTTACAGATGAGAAACTGAGGTTCAGAAAGGTAAGTAACTTACCCAGGTTGATAAGAAGTGGCATAGAACTTGAAGTCAGGGTTCTTAGCCGTGGCATTATCAAAACCCCCAGACTTAATTAGATCGTTCTGATGTTAGCACTCTGTTCTTTATCACTTACTGTAATTTGTAACTATGAATTTCTGTGATTTGATTGGCTCCCCTGAGAGTCTCTAAGCTGTCTTTCTCAATGCTGTAATTTTATCTCCTACCTAGTACAGTGCCTGTACCTAAGTGAGCTGGCCAGCCACTCCTTGGAAACCCTGTACAGGGTTGCTATAAGTCAGAACCAACTCGACAGCACTTAACAACAAAAACAACCTAGCACAATGCGTGTGCCTAAGTGATTCAGAAATGTTTTTAAATAAATAAACTCGACTGCTATTCAAATATCCTTACTCCTTAAGAATCACAAGGGAGTCTAAATTGTTTTTACATTAAACATTCATCTATTGAAATGCTCTTGTGATACTTTGGAGTATCAGTATAGTAATATTTATAATACTTAAGAATCTTCAAGAACTGTCTAGTAGAAAGGCTGCTTTGATTAATGAACAATAACTTCATTAGAACTTACTTCAGCTTTAGTTATTTGACTTCAGTTTTAAATTGCATTCGAAACTAGAGTCCTTGGAAAAAAACATTTAAATATGCAACTTGTGTTTTCTTTGTTTTATCCACTGTGGTACATTTACTCGTAATCCTAGTTCTTTTGTAGTCACACTAAAGTACTTGAAAGTAAGGAGACTAAGAGCAAAATACATAAAAGTCAGGAGTGTAGGAATAAGTAAGGATACTGTGAAAACCACAAAGAACCCTAGTGGATTATTAGCTGGGCTGCTAACTGCTAGGTCAGCGGTTTGAATCTACCAGCTGCCCTGCAGGAGAAAGATGAAGCTTTCTGCTCCCATGAAGATTTATAGGCTTGAAACTATTCTGGTGATAGTTTTGTAGTATTGAGTTGGGCAAAGTCCCTGTCCTCATGGCGCTTACATTCTAGTAAAATGAGGAGTGGCTCATGGTGGGAAAGTGGCTCCAGGATCGATGTGAGTCAAAACTGACTCAGTGGCACACAACCACCGACACCAAGAAAACCAGGCACTGGACAGCAGGTCCCTGGATCATTGAGAATGTTTCCTTGCTTGCTAAAAGAAAAATTTGGAAGCCTAAAAGTGTAATCGTTTCTCTTTATGTACAATATATGCCATTCTTGATTCTAGACATCATGTGCCTTCAGCCCTAGTCAAATGTTTTTACTGTATGTACTTTTCTTCTTTCCAGGTATAATAAAAAGACTGGTATTGAATTCTGCCATACATGAATAAAATGCTTGCCGATTTGTTCAACTGATAAAGTATACCTACTCTTCACGTATGGACTATCATTAGCTGATCATTTACAACAATAGTAAAGAATCTACTATCCGCCTATTTTGCGGATTGTCTGGCATTAATGAACACCAAGGTGTAATGAATGCTGGCTGTGATGGTTAAGGTTATGTGTCAGCTTGGCTGGAGCATGGTTCTTAGTTGTTTTGTGTAATGATGTAATCATTCTTCATTTTGTAATCTCATGTGGTCATTCTCTGTTTTCCTATAGGAGCAATTTTTGTGTAATGACCAGGCAGGGAAATCTAACCTTGTTAGTGAGTGATAGCACCCATGTCACTGTTGGGTGCTACCCATTTGATTCCAGTGACCCCACGTGACAGTAGAATAGCCCTAGGGATTTCAAGTTCACCAGCCGCCCCTAGGAAACCCTAAACAGGGTCGCTATGAGTCAGAAACGACTTGGCGTCACATAGCAATAACTACATAACAATAACAAGAAAGGAAGTAAGTCTTTCTCCCAGAGAGTCACCATTCCATTCTAAGGTTTTCGTTAGGAGCCAAGCCATTTCACCACCAGGGTGACCAAATTGCAGTAGCTGAATTAAATTAAATGTGGTTTGGGTTGTTTTTTATTTACTTTTTTCTTTGTTCTACCTTTTATTACCTTCCCTTACAGCTTTTTACCTGCACCAACTCAGCTTTCTCAGGACCAGCTTGAGGCTGAAGAAAAGGCAAGATCTCAGCGATCACGGCAGACCTCACTGGTCTCCTCCAGAAGAGAGCCTCCACCATACGGGTACCGAAAAGGCTGGATACCTCGGTTATTAGAGGTAATATGGATCTTCAATTTAGATTTAAGTTGTGCTGAAGTGTCTTATAGTGCCCTTATAAAATAGAATCTCTGCTTATGAAAGTCAGTAGGATACAATTTCTGGTGTGTGCTCTCAAAACATAGAAGCCCCTCTGAAGGTTTATCTTTCTTCTTGCTTGCTGCTTATCACTGTTTTGTGCTCACTTTGGAATTTTGCCAGTCTATGCCTCTTCTTGGAGTTCTTATACAGGGCTTTAGTGATAACCACAAGGTCTGCAGTTCAAACTCCTCCACTCCCCAGCCACTCCATGGAAACTCTATACAGGGTCACTATAAGTTGTTATATCAACTTTCGTTATTGAATGATTCTCTGGGCTAATTATTGATTGATTCAGAAAGCATCAAGAGAAGATGGAAGGAATACACAGACTCACTGTACCAGAAGGAAATGGCTAATGTTCAACTGTTTCAAGAGGTAGCATATGATACGAGCCCATGATACTGAAGGAAGAAATCCAAGTTGTATTGAAGGAATTGGCAAAGAACAAGGCAATAAAAATTGAAATCTTACAAGAAAGTGAGGTGGCACAGGAGGCACTCACTCATCTATGCCAAAAAATTTGGAAGACAACTATCTGGCTGACTGATTGGAAGAGATCCGTATTTGTGCACGTTCCAAAGAGGTGACCCATTGGAATATAGAAGTCGTCAGACAATCTCTTTGATATCCCATGTGAGTAAAGATTTGCTAAAGGTAATACAGAAACGGCTACAATCATACATTGACAGAGAATTTCCAGATGTTCAAGCCGGATTCAGAAGAGGCCGTGGAACGAGAGATATCATTGCTGATGTCTGATAGATCTTGGCTGAAAGCAGAGAATATCAGAAAGATGTTTACCTGTACTTTATTGACTATGCAAAGCTTTCAATTGTGTGGATCATGACAAGCTATGGACAACATTGAGAAGTATGAGTATTACAGAACACTTAATTGTACTTCTGAGAAATCTGTACTTGGACCAAGAGGCAGTTGTTCGAACAGAACATGGTTTAAAATTTTAAAATTTGTGCAACAATGTTATGTTCTTTCAGCATACTTATTCAACCTGTATGCTGAGCAAATAATCCAAGAAGCTGGGTTATATGAAGAAAAACATAGCATCAGGATTAGAGGAAGACTCATTAACAACCTGCGATATGCAGATGATACAATCTTGCTTGCTGAAAGTAAAGAAGACTTAAAACATTTACTGATGAAGATCAAAGAGCACAGTTTTTGGTGTGGATTACATCTCAATGTCAAGAAAACAAAAATCCTCACCACTGGACCAATAAACAACATTCTTATCAACGGAGAAAAGATTGACATTGTCAATGGACTTCATTCTAATTGGATCAACTATCTCAACACTCATGGAAGCAGCGGTCAAGAAATCAAACAACATATTGCATTAGGCAAATCTGCTGCACAAGACCTTTTTAAAGTGTTGAAGAGCAAAGATATCAGCTTGAAGACTAAGGTGCACCTGACCCAAGCCATGGTATTTTCAATAACCTCATATGCATGCGAAAGCTGGACGGTGAATAAAGAATACCGTAGAAGAATTGATGCTTTTGAGTTATGGTGTTGGAGGAGAATATTGAAAGTGCCATGGGCTGCCAAAAGAACCAATAGATCCATTTTGGAAGAAGTACAGCCAGAGTGCTCCTTGGAGGCCAAGATGGCCAAACTTTGTCTTTCGACTTCAGACATATTTTCAGGAGGGACCAGTCACTAGAGAAGGATATCATGTTTGGTAAGGAGAAAGACCCCCAACGAGATGGATTGGTCAAGTGGCAACAGTAGTGAGGTTGGACCAGAATCGGACAGTGTTTCGTTCTGCTGTGCATAAGGTCACTATGGGTCGGTACTGACTTGATGGCACCTAACAACAACAACAACGTAAGTTGGAACTGAGTCGACAGCACTTAGCAATAACATGCCACTTATGCCAAACTATTCAACCTGTACTAACAAGCTCCTTATAAATTCAGGCATTATAGCATATGGGAAAAATTGGGAACGTAAGAGAAAAAAATAAAGAGTGAAGAAAGTGGATTTCATGTTTGTTCCCCAGGTACCTCTTCTTTCCCACGACACCCTCCAAATACACACAGAGTCACATAATCCGAAATTGAAAACCATCCTCTGGGAAAATCACAGCAGTATTTCCTTTTCTGATTTCTTTCTCCTTAGCTTTAGTAAGAGGAGCACTGAGGAGGAGGTAAAATATAAATAACTAGCTTTGCATTTTTGTGACCCTGGAGAAATCCTCTCTCTGTCTGTTTTCTTACCTTCCATTTGAGAATGGTCATGTGCATGCCTGATGTACAGATTCTCCAAAGTTTTAGGAAGTAGAAGACTGGTAGTTAAGTGGTTGGTTTCGTGGAGTGTGGAAAGAGAAAATCTGGAATGGTCCTTATTACGAGGAGACTTCAAAGTGGAATTAGTCCACAAAATTTTGGAAGCCCCCTGATATCTCTCGCTTGTTCCTAAAAGCAGTCTTCCTTGGCAGTGCACAAATCGACCTCTTCCTCCTAAGGGAACTGTCAGTTCAATACACATTCCTTTCCCTGATTCCGGAGCCACTCTGCAAGCTTGATTTCCTTTCTTGGCTTGGAAGAAAAACAAACTTTTAAGACTTATTTTGCCTCTCCGAAATCTCCTCCCATTTCTTTTCTGCCTCCTCCTTTCTCAAAATTCATTCTGACTTCTACAAATTTTCTTCTTCCATGTCTCTAGGAATATACCAGTCCTGGTGTGGTGCTGTGGGTTAATGCGTCAGACTGCAAAGCCATTTGAACTGCAAGGTCACCAGTTCAAGCTCACCAGCTGCTCCTTGAAAACCCTCTACAGGGTCACTATGGGTCGGAATTGACTCGATGGCACTTAACAACAACAATTAGACATTTTGGAGTCTTGGTGTGGCATTATAGGATAAACACCAGTCTGCTAACTGCAAGTTTGGCAGTTCAAACCTACTAGCAGCTCCTTGGAAACTCTATATAAGTTGGAATGAACTCAGCTGCACCTAACAACATTCGACATTTTAAGTGCCTCTACTACTCATTTTTGCACTCAGCTCTTTTTATTTTTTTCCCTTGGTATATGCGGTCTTTATATTGTTATGTTGTCGTTGTTATGTGCCGTGGAGTCGGTTCCAACTCATAGTGAACCCTGCACAGGGTTTCTGAGGCTGTTAATCTTTACGGGAGCAGAAGGCCTCATCTTTCTCCCGTGGAGCAGCTGGTAGTTTTGAACTGCTGACCTTGTGGTTTGCAGCCCGATTGGTAACCACTATGCTACCAGAGGGTTACTGTACAAATGCGAAGCTCTTAGCCCTAAGCTTTTTATCATATGCACCTGCGTATTGAATGCGGTGGACTAGTACTCATATTTGCTGGATTGAAACTTGTAACTTAGAACTCCATAAGAAGACATCTATGTTCCCAAACATTTCATGTGTTTGTCATTACCCTGTCTACCAGTGCACTTTATAGATCCTAGAAGATAACTTGCCAACTAGGTCATATCAAGTTTTAGTATTCTCTGGGTTTAGGGTGTTTTTGTTCTTGTTTCTGCAGTTCTCCGGGCCCTTAGTAATTCTAGTATGTGAAAGCCAGTCTTATTATAATTACTGAGGAATCTTTGTTGTTGTTTTCACTGATGATATAATTTGTGAGAAGCAGAGCAAAATGAAAGCTAACTAAAGAGGCCATAATGCCCCTTTTCCACGCATCATCTAAGAAGAGGGAGTGCCTCTTTTGAGGAGTCCTAGAGAATCACTGCAGTCACACTCAGGAGAGGGAACGTTGGTTTACATAACAGTGGAAATCTCCTTGTTTCCATGTCAGCACTGTGACTCTTGACTACTTTTATAGGTTTCATATATCCTGGTGGAACAGAGCATTTTATGTGAAAATCAAGCCAAAATGGCCAGCTCATCTAAATGCTTCTTGAGGGTAGTGAATGTTCTGTTGAAGAAGGTAGTTTGTTCTAGTGTTCAAAATAAAAGCTCTGATTTTCTAGCAAGCTTAATGGCTGCACAGTGCTGCATCTATGGTTCTGAAGTATTTATCATAATTGGGGAACACTAGCAAATCTGAGCATGCCAGACTGTCGAACTGGGTACAGGTAGCACCTTTTGTGGCAATGATTGAACTATTATTGTGTAATTTACATGAAAATTATCTGTCAGCTTTATTCTCTCTTTAGCAAGTAAATGTGCTGTACCATATATCCTGTTGCTGTTGTTAAATGCTTTTGAGTGGGTTTGAACCCACTACAGCACCATACCAGGATTCCAACATATATCCCTGGATTTAATACAGTATTGTTTTAAAGAGGAAGTCTTATAAAAGTGGATGTTTTCATAATTTTTTTTCTTCAAGCTCCCTATAAATGAATAACATATTTTTCTTATTTCTTGGGAGTACTCATTTGGACTTTTTGAGCTTAAAAAAAAAAAAAGTAATAACAGTTTAAGAAAACAGTCGCATGTTTTGGACATGAAAGACTTGATTCAAGTCCTACATGTGCTAGTTGCAAGACCTTGGGAAAAAAATCACTTAACCTTTCTAAAGCTGAATTTTTTCCACATGAAAAACGGGGGTTCTTTAAGAATTAAATGAAGTAATATGGGGTAAGTCAGAAAGTTTGCTACTAAGGTTCTAATTTATACATGCACTGGTTTATTCCAAACAAAACATGTTTAAATATGTCTCTGTGGTCAGTGGATGGCTGCAGACAAGTTCTCTCAATAATAACATTTGTCTTAGTTTTCATTAGGGCACCTTGGGGGTGGGAAGGGGCCAATTAAAACCATGGCTTCTGAGGACATCTGCTAAATTAAAAGATCATCTAAATTCAAGGTTAGCTCAGAAGGTTATGGCAAATGCTTTTGGGGAGTCCCAAGGAGTAGTAGTGATAGATTTTCTCAAAGGATACCCCATGATCCTGGGGGCTTATTATGAAGCAGTTTATTCTTCAAGGGTAGGAAGGGCTGTCCTACAAGCACTTTGTTGGGAAACTTTATCCCATTCACCTGACAGCCCTTATTCACTCAACAGCCCTTCAGATTTCTTTTGTTCCCCAAAACTCAAAAAATATTTCAAAGGAACATGATTTGAGTTTCTCAAGGATTTTTAACATGGTATAATTCAAAGAGTGCAGACTCCTTTTGGAAAGGGTTAGAGAGCTGGAAACAGTGCTTCAGAAGTGGATAGACCTGGTGGAGGAGATGTTGAGAAACAAAACCATCACATTTTGATGTTTATGTTTAAAACAGTTTCTATGATTGTGTCCACCACTTGTCAGTCAGTTTGTCGTGTTGGTGGTTTGCGTGTTACTGTGATGCTGGAAACTAAGCCACCACTATTTTGAATGCTGGCAGGGTCACCCATGGTGGACAGGTTTCATCAGCGCTTCCAGACTAAGACAGACTCAGAAAAAGGAGAGGTGGACTACTTCTGAATGTTTAGCCACTGAAAGTCTAATGAATAGCAATGAGATACCATCAAACAGCACCAGAGTAGTCTTTGCATAGTCAATAAAGCACAAGTAAACATCTTTCCGGTATTTTCTGCTTTCAGCCAAGATCCATCTAATGTCAACAGTGATATCCCTCATTCCAGGTCCTTGTCTGAATCCGGCTTGAGCCTCTGGCAGTTCCCTGTCAATGTTTTGTTGCAGCCATTTTTTTTTTAAATTATCTTGAGCAATATTTTACTTGCATGGGAAATTAATGATATTGTCTGATGATTTTTGCATTCTGTTGGATCACCTCTCTTTAGAATGGACACAAATATATAGGTCTCCCAATCAGTTGGCCAGGTAGCTGTCTTCAATATTTATTGGCACGAGTGAGTGCCTTCAGTACTGCATCAGTTTATTGAAAGATTTCAGTTTTTAGTCCATCAATCCCCGGAGCCTTGTTCTTTACCTATGCCTTCAGTGCACCTTGGACTTCTTCCTCCTTTAGTACCATTGGCTCATGATCATATACTAACTACCTCTTAAAATGGTTGAACATTGACCGTGTCTTTTTGCATGTCTGTTGAGGCTTTTTGCGTCATTCACTATTTTTCCCAAAGAATCCTTCAAGTCGAGGCTTGAATTTTTGCCTCAGTTCTTTCAGCTTGAGAAATGCTCAGTGTGTTCTTCCTTTATTGTTTCTAACTCCAGGTCTGACATCCCACAATTCTTCTGGTCTTAGGTCATTATTAGTGTCTAATGCATCAAATCTGTTCTTGAGATGGTCTCTAAATTCAAATGGGATATGTTCAGGGTCTTATTTTGACTCTCATGGACTTCTTTTACTTTTCTTCAGCTTCAGCCTGAACTTGCATGTGAGTAATTGATGTCTATTCCACAGTCTTCCTCTGGCCTTGTTTTGACTGATGATATGAAACTTCTCCACCATCTCTTTCCACAGATATAGTCAATTTGATCTCTGTGTATTCTATCTGGTAAAATCTATGTGTATAATCATCTTTTATGTTGTTTGGAAAAGGTATTTGTGACAAAGCCATTGATCTTGCATAATTCTGATATGTGATCTCCAACATCATTTCTGTCACCAAGGCCATGTTTTCCAACTACTGATCCTTCCTCTTTGTTTCCAGTATCTGCATTTCATTCACCAGTAATTATCAGTACATCTTGATGGCAGTTGATCAGTTTCAGACTGATAAAGTTGGTAGGTTTAAAGCAGGAAAGATGTGTGCTGAGCAAATAATTCAAGAAACTGCATTATATAAAGAACATAGCATCAGGATTGGAGCTAGTCTCATTAACAACCTGCAATATGCAAAAGATACAGCCTTGTTTTTTGAAAGCTAAGAAGACTTAAAATTCTTAATGATGAACATCAAAGACCACAGCCTTCAGTATGGCTTGCAACTCAATATAAAGAAAACAGAAATCCTCACCACTGGAGCAATAAATAATGTCATGATAAATGGACAAAATATTGAAGTTGTCAAAGACTTCAATTTGCTCAGATCAACCACCAACACTCATGGAAGCAGCAGTCAAAAAATCAGTATATTGTCTTAGGCTTATCTGCTGCACAAGACCTCTTTAAAGTGTTTAAGAGCAAAGACATCATTTTGAGGACTAAAGTGCGCCTGACCCAAGCCGTGGTATTTTCAGTAGCTTCATATACATGTGGAAGTTGGACAAAGAATAAGAAGATCATAGAAGAATTGATGCATTTGAATTCCAGTGTTGGAGAAGAATATTAAAGGTACCACCGACTGCCAGAAGAACAAACAAATCTGTGTTGGAATTAGTACAACCAGAATGCTCTTTACAAGCCAAAATGATCAGACATCGTCTTTCATACTTCAGACATATTATCAGGAGGGACCAGTCCCTGGAGAAGGATATCATGCTTGGTAAAGTGGAGGGTCAGCCAAAAAGAGGGAGACCCCCAATGAGGTGGATTGGCGCAGTGGAAGCAGTAATGAGCTTGAGCATAGCAACAATTATGAGAATGGCCTGGGACTGAGCAGTCTTTCGTTCTGTTATACATGGGTCGCTATGGGCTGGAACCAGCTTGACAGCACCTAACAACAACAACACAATTTTGTAGAAATACTTTTTGACTTGCCTTTGTTTATAAATTATAAGATACTGGCACAAAGGGTTAAGAACCCCTGGCAGCGCTGTGGATTGGGCATTGTGCTGCTATACACAGGTTAGCAGTTCAACTCCATCAGCTATTCCTCTGAAGAAAGATAAAGCTTTTGGCTCCTGTAAAGATTTACTGTCTCTGAAACCCCAATGTAATATCACTATGAGTTGGAATCGACTCAGTGACGATGGGGTTTTGGACACAATGAGTAAGTGCTTGGGTGCTAACCAGAAAGTTAGTGGTTCAAACCCACCAGTTGCTCCATGGTACTGGCAGTCTACTCCCATAAAGAGAATTGTTGTGAAGTACGGTTAAATCAGTTTCAACTTAAAGCAATACCATATAGCCTTTTTAAAAGGCCATAGATTTTTATGGGATTAGTAAGTCTCATCTTTCTCCAATGGCGAGGCTGGTGGGCATGAACCACCATCTTGTGGCTCACAGTTCAGTGCTTATCTTACAGAGCCATCCTGCTCATAAAGATTGCAGCCTCAGAAACCCTCTGGGGCAATTTTACAGTGTCCTTCTGTTAGTTTACTATAAGTTAATATTATTAAATTTAACATTTAATTTAAATTTAGCCATTTAAAAAGAGTGCTTATTATTTTATGTTTGTTAACCTATTTTTTTTTTTTGTAGTAAATATCATTGGGAAGCTTGTTGTTGTTGTTAAGTGCCATCGAGTTGGTTCCGACCCATAGCGACCCTGTAACAGGGTTTCCGAGGGTGCAAATCTTTACAGGAGTAGAAAGCCTTATCTTTCTCCCGCGGAGCGGCTGGTAGTTTCGAACCTCTGACATTAAGGTTCACAGCCTGATTCGTAACCACTACGCTACCAGAGCTCCTTTTGGGAAGCTTAGTTAGCGTATTTTAATTTAGAAGTCTTAGCACTTCTGAATAATTGTTTATAATAGAAATATGGATAAATTAATTCCTGGGCCCTTCCTACTCTATTTGCTTTTCATTTACCATGGTAATGAAATCTGATTCCTAGAAAAAAGTGATTTACATTTCTACTTAAACTATACCTAAACCTGCCCTCACTAAGAAAAATGTATATACTAAAACTAAAATCTTTGCCCTGTGTTTAGTTTTCTTCCTGCCATGGGCTCGAAGCTCCTTCATGATCTGATGCTTGTCTACCCATACAACTTTATGCCTCTTTGTCAGCTACCCTGTCCTCAGTACACTCTTGCTCCACTCGATTCTCTTTCCATGGAACATGCCAAGCTCTCGTGTTTGCTGCAAGACTTTGCCTCTGCTTTTTGATCTCCTAGAAAATGCTGCTCCCAGATCTTTCCATGACTGGCTTCTTCTCATTATTCAGGCCTTAACTCACAAGTTACTTCTTCACAGAGGCTGTCTTAACCACCCTATCAAAAGTAGTCCCTCCTACCCAATCTCTATAATATCTTTAGGGATCTTATCACAAGCTAGAGGTACAGTGTATATTTATATCTTTGCCCACTAGACGTAATGCCACAATATCGGAGACCTCTGTCCTGTTTATTACTGTATCTCTATCATCTAGCATAGAGGCACAATAAATATTGGTTAAATGAATGAATAGATCTTGAATTTCAAATTACTAATAAGTATTCCTTTTCTAATATGTAGGATTTTGGAGATGGGGGTGCTTTTCCAGAGATCCATGTGGCCCAGTACCCACTGGATATGGGACGAAAGAAAAAAATTTCCAATGCGCTGGCTATTCAAGTGGACGCTGAAGGAAAAATTAAATATGATGCAATTGCTCGACAAGGACAATCTAAAGACAAGGTAATTCATTAATTTCCCCCATTCATAAATATTTTTGGATGAATTTTAAAATATTATATGAAATGATGAGTCTCTTGCATCTGATTTTGTTGAAAGTAGCAGTGCCGGGTACTTCAGTATCTGACAATGACTTTCCATTAGAATTCCTGATTTCATGATAGCTTGTATCTACTTAAGGTACTAGTTTGTTGGTTTTACAGTGTGAAACAATAATAGTACTAATATTCTGAAAAAAAAAAAACTCTGGTAGCATAGTACAGTGTGCGTTTAACTGCTAACCACAAGGTCGGCAGTTTGAGCCTATCAGCCACTCCAAGGGAGGAAGAGGAGACTTTCGGACAGTGCTAGCAAATTTTTAAGTATGTACAATCTGACCACCCTAAGAAAATCAACTTTGAATTTTGTCAGAACCAACCAATCAGCCCATTGCCACCAAGTCAGTTCTGACTCATAGCTCTGTAAGACAGAGTAGAATTGCCACATAAGGTTTCCAAGGCTGTGATCCTTACAGAAACCAGCCGCCACATCTTTCTCCCATGGAGTAGCTGGTAGATTCAAACCACCAACCTTTTAGGTAGCACTGGGCCACCAGGGTGCCTTAATTTTGTCATTTTTGTGACATGCCATAGAGGTTGCCATAGCAACCCTGTATATGCTTTCTGAGGAGTGGCTGATGGATTTGTACCATCAACTTTGTGGTTAACAGTCAAGTGCTTACCCTACAGCACCACACCAGAAGTGCAATTTTGTCAGTCTTTGCTAATTCTCTTCCATTACTTACATAGAAACTTAATTGTTTTAGTATTTCATTTGAATGTGACAAACAACACAACTGATTTACAACCCAGATTTAAGATAATCCCACTTACAAAGTAATCCAAAAATCAAAAATAAAATTTGCATAAAATAATCTCATCACAGCAGCAATACATAACCACGGAACTAATTTTAAGGTTTTGTGTTTTTTGTTTTGTTTTTTTCTTTAAATACTGCATATAGAAGGAAAAGATTTCTTTAGAATTAAAGATGTTAGGGAAAATACTTGCGAGTCTTCAGTATCTATCCTTTGTGCCTTTCCCCATACCCTACCCACCCAAGCCTGTGTTTTTATTCTCTAAAGTAGCAATAATGGTAACCCATCCTTTACTCCTACATCATGGCTGCTGAGCTTTCTGGGGAAAACAATTATGTCTTCACACCAGTGTACATCTTAGTTTAACAGAGCTCCATCAGTGCTCCTTCCAAGCCTTTTAGTGGCCCTTAGGTTTCCTACTCCTTTTGATCCCCTCAGTCCTAACAAGTCTGCATATAACAGAAAAAAATTGTCAGCTTCCTTCTACTTACTTATTTTTAACAGTTCCTTTTGTCTGTTTGAAACCCCTACTATCTTAATCCTACTTTTCCCCCCTTCCTATTGTATCCTAATATTCTATATAGATGGTATCTCTTTCCTTTTCCTCTCTATTGTTGTTAAGTTCCATTGAGTCGGTTCTGAATTAGAGCGACTCTGTATAGGATTTCCAAGGAGAGGCTGGTGAGTTCAAACTGCCCACCTTGTGGTTAGCAGTCCAGTGTTTATCCTACAGCGCCACACCAGGACTCCTGGATTGCTGTTAATGCTGTAGAGTCAGTTCCGACTCATAGCGACCCTGTGCAGTGTTTCTGAGGAGCAGCTAGTGAGTTTGAACCACCAACCTTGCAGTCCAGTGCTTGTTCTACGACACCACACCAGGAAACCTGGATTTATTAGTTCTTTGCAATGTCCTTTACCTTTCCTTCCCTAAGGGCTCCTTCCTGTTAGCATTTGAATATGATTGCCTTTCCTATCTTTTGAAAACAAATTGTCCCTGACCACCTTCATGTCTTGCTCTAGCTGCAACCTAATTTCATTCACTTTACATTCCCTTTTACTTCTCAGCTCACTGCAGTATGGCCTAACCTCAACCTGTAGCTTGATCCTAAAGCTCCTTGGCAAGCTCAAAGTTGAAGATTTACTATCTCACAACACATTGTCTCTGATTAATTTATTCCCATGGCTTTAATTACCACTCATGTTGATTATTATCAGATCTATGTCTCTAGCACAGTTTTTGGTCTTGGGGCTTGGGTCTTTATATGTTACTGTTTATGAGGGCAGATCTATCTGGATTTCCCCAAAGTGCTACTTAATCACATGGATCATGTTCCATGTAGTTTATCTTCTGTAAATAATATCTGCTAATGCCAAAAACCTTGTGGAGCATAAGATAAGCACTGGCCTGGGAACCACTAGGTTGACTGTTTGAGCCCACCAGCTGCTCTGCAGGAGAAAGACGAAGCTTTCTGTTCGGCAAGCATCTGAAGCCTTGGAAACCCTATGCAGAGTTGCTATGAGTTGGAACTGACTCAAAGGCACTTAACAACATTTCCAAAAATCTAGCTGTCATTCTTTTTATCCCCTTTATTTTAAGGAGCTCTTGTAGTGTAGTCATTACGAATTGGGCTGCTAACCTCAAGGTTAGCAGTTCGAAACTACCAACTAGTCCACAGGAAAAAGATGAGGCTTTCTTCTCCCATAAAGATTCACAGACTTGGAAACCTTGTGCAGGATCACTGTGAGTCGGAACCGACTCCACAGTGCTTAACAACATTTTATTGATACATGCTTTAAAATTACACAAGCAACATATTCTTAAAGTAAAAGATAAAAGTGCTACATAACTACTTTTACACAAATATGCTTATTTTGTAGTATATGGGTTTTGTTTTTTCTTTACAGAGCCTTTGGGTTAGTTTCTGTATGTGCTATGCACATATAGATGTGCATGTTATTTACATGGGTGCATTAGATGAAAAACTATGGTACTGTTGCCTTCTCTTTCCATTTCACTACTGTTGTTGTAAAGGTGTAGCTTTCTAGACCTTTTTTTATGGATATAGCTATTTATGTGTTCATATTTCCACTCAGAATGCATGTAGAAGCATGTATCAGGGAGCTTCAAAACACTCCTGGGAATAATATCCATCGTGCTGTTGTTGGGTCAACTGTTCTTTACTTGTCTAAGAAGTAAAATCAGATGATTGTGTTTTTAGTTCATCTGTTTATTTTCCTTTTAGTTGTTCTATCCTTAATTAAATGTGATGTATTAAAGAGTCTTACTATTATTACTATCAAAAAAAAAAAAAAAAAAACACTCTTGGGAAAATTCCATTATTCCTTTTTTCCACAAACTTTAAAGACCCCCTGTATATCGTTTTTCTTTTTTTGCCTAGGTGGGATTTTAATATTCCTAGTTTCCTTTGATACTTCTGGTGTGGTGCTGTTGGATCAGCACTGGACTGCGAACCACAAGGTAGCAGTTCAAACCCACTAGCAGCCTTTTAGAAACGCTGTACAGGATCACTGTGAGTCACAGTCGACTCGACAGTACTTAACAACAGCAACAATAGTTTCCTTTGACCTACTAGTTTTTAATTTAGCAATGTGCTGAAAAGATTTTCATAGCATCTATAACTACTTTTTAAATTTATATAGAATTGCCTGGTGTTGTTGAACCCTAATTTTTTTTAAAAACATTGATGGTTTCCAGTTTTTTAGTATTGCAAAAAATGCTTTATCAAGACCCATATGCAAACATCTTTTTGCACCTGAGTATTTGTATAAAATTAATTCTTAGAAGTAGCTTTATTGGGTGAGAAGGTATTCACATTTTAAATGTGGCATGTATGCTCTCTGAAATGCTTTAGGGACAGTCATTCCACTTCCTTTGTTCCTGCTAATCCTGCATGTACTTAATTAACATTTATCTCTTTTAGCTCCTTACCACTTCTCAAATTTAGTCCCATCTCTGCCTACTTAGTTCAGGCTCCTGTCATTTCTTGCCTGGTTTACAGCAGTCTCCACTGTACAACAGAAAAGTAGTTCTATAAAAGCATAGTCACCTGCAAAAGGAAAAAAAGACCCCCTCCATGCAGGTCCTGGTGTGGCGCTGGACTGCTAAACATGAGGTTCGCAGATCAAACCCACCAGCTGCTCCTCAGAAACCCTCTACAGAGTTGTTATGAGTCAGAACTGACTCAGTGGCACTTGACAACAGCATCCATGTAGGACATATACTGGAAAGTTCTCTGTGATCAAGGCCTTGACTTAACTCCAACCACCTTTGTTTTGGTACCACTCTCCTTCTTTTACTTAATGATTATTGCTTATTGGTATATGCTGCCTCTCCTCTTCCATTTGTTAGGAAAAGACAACATTTCAGGGCAGTGATTTGGTCTGGACAGGTTTTATTCTGAATAAAATATAGCTTTAATCCATTTTGCATTATATTTCAAGACTAGAAATCAAGCATTTTATCTGATTTCTGGGAAAGGTTGACATGTGTTTTCTTACTCCAGCAGGCATCTATATTGGTCATTATTTTGTATTAAAAATTGGCTGCTGTTGTTGTCATCATGTCAGTTCTGCATACGTTTTCCAAGGAGTGGCTGATGGATTTGAACCGCGAACCTTGCAGTTAGCAGTCCAGTGCATATCCTGCAGTGCCACACCAGGACTCCAAAATTAGATTTGAACTGTTCAGATTGGGCTGTTTTTTGTTTTATTTTTTTATTTCTGTGTTGACCAAATTAGAGTCTTTAAAACATTGTTCATTTGTGTAAGTAAAAAGTTTATCTGTTTATCTCTGATTCAGCCACTCGGAGTGAACATGACAGGTTGGTCGTGGAGATACAACTCTCAGGAGAGTAAGTCCAGATCCCAAGAGATAATATTCTAGAGCAAGTCTAAGGCCAATGATCTCTCTATATGTTAAAAAAATAAATACTATATGTAAAACTTATTAATAATACAAAATTGGAAAGACAAAGACTTTTTGACCTAATCTTCATCAGACTAAATACTTTTTAAAATTGTGTCCTGAGTGATTAATTTTGAAATAAAAGGCCTTAATATATGCATATTTCCTTCTGAAACATGGGAAATGTTGCATGTATGATATTATCAAAAAGGTGCCCCCTGCCCTTTCTTGCCCTTGCCCCCGACCCTCCACCTCCCACTCCCCAGCCCCGTGCAACAAAACCAAACACTTTAAACTGACTCCAAGATAAATTATGTTACTGTCTTGTTTATGTGATTTTTCAAACTAGCTAAGCCTAAAGGTACTGTTTTCTTTCTAACTCATAAATTGGCAGACTTACTTTTTAGTCCATCCAATTCTTTGTCAATTTTAAGTAATAAGGAAAATATCTATTTAGCAGATGAGCTTTTGTTTTTCTTCTGGTATCTTCAAGTGCATATTGTATTTTTCTGATCACCTTTCCCAAACCCTTTGCCTCTTAGGATATACTGAGTTTCTTCAACACGTTTGGTTCTTAGCAATAAAAATGTAGGGTTTTATAGTTAATTATCATAGAGGACTCTTGTTCTTCAGACGCCCTTCACTCAGTTTTGTGAGATGCTGGACTCTTGTTGATGCTCATTTAAAGGGTTATTAACTTCAGAATACCCAAATAAGAAGCAGCCAACGACTCTTGTATGCTAAATTAGTATTGAGACTTGATGTTAAGCATACATGACTTCCAGGGAGCCATTTATTTAGAATCCTTTCCTGTAGTGATTGCTATATAAAAGTGATTAACTCTTTAGAATCTTGGCATATTTTCTAGAGTATTGTTATGTAATTTTCTGTTTATGACACTGGATTTTTCCATTCTTAGAAAGGATATGCGAGATCACTTAAAAGCTGTGTGATCTTAATGCACTTAGCCTCATTCTTTTCTTCTCACTAGAGTGAGCTTTAAGGAGCACTGGTAGCGTATTGGTTACGAATCGGGCTGTGAACCACAAGGTCAGCAGTTCGAAACTACCAGCTGTTCCGCAGGAGAAAGATGAGGCTTTCTGCTCCCATAAAGATTTACAGCCTCGGAAACCCTGTACAGGGTCGCTATGAGTCGGAACCGACTCGACAGCACATAACAACAACAACAAGAGTGAGCTTTATAGTTCCGTTCAGAATGACGTGTCTTAGAGGCAGATGACACTAGTACCTTACATACGAATAGTATGCGTTTTGTGCTAAGTTACCTACACTTTTCATTCCTGAGGACGACAGGCTAGAGATTTCCATCTATAGTCATGGTTGTATTTTCTGGGAAACCAACAAAGTTCTGTGGCCTAAAATACCCCTTTAGCATGCGATAGAGCATCTCAAAAGTCATCCATTCAGTCAGAAAATACTGATTAAATACCACTCCTGACAAGGTCGAATTTATTTTGGGTCCTGGTATAGCACTGTAGTATAAGCACTGGACTGCTAACCACAAAGTCCGTGGTTCAAACCTACCCTCTGCTCCATGAGAACTCTACATAGGGTCACTATGAGTCAGAACTGACTCTGAGGCACTTAACAGCAACAACATGGACTAGGCATTGTTATATGCACTGGAAATACTTAAATGAACTAAATTCCTTATCTGTAGTATACGTATAATCATTTTGCATGCCACATAGGAATGATCTTGTTTTGAGTTGTCCTCAAATTGGCTCCAGCTCATGGCTGCCTTAAGTAATGGAATGTTCCCTGGCCCTCACCATCTTCATGATTATTGGTATATTTGAGTCCATGTTGCAGCTATTATGTGAGTCCACCTCATTGAAGGTCTCCCTCATATTCATTCATTCATGATATTCTTTTTTAGCAATTAATCTTTCGTGATGACATGTCCAAAGTTAGTGAGTTGAATTCTTGCCATCTTCTTTTCTGTGGAACAGTCTGCTGGTATTTTTTTATGACTGATTTGTTTGTTCTTTTTACTAAACAACAACAAACTCATTGCTGTCCAGTTGATTCTGACTCATGGCCACCTGAAGGGCAGGGGAAAACTTCCCCATAGGCTTTCCAAGGCTGTCATCTTTACAGACACAGATGGCCACGGCTTTCAACCACAGAGCAGCCAGTGGGTTCGAACCACCGATCTTTTAGTTAGGAGGCAAGTGCTTTAACCTCTAGACCACCAGTGTTCCCACTGTTCTTTTTATAAGAGTTTAATTGATTAATATATATGAAATAAAAAGACAGGGTACACAATAAGTACTCATTAAATGGTAGCTCTTATTATCAAATATCGGAGTCCTGATGTGGCGCTGTGGGCTAGTATGTCAGACTATAAAGTCATTTGAACTGCAAGGTCAGTAGTTTAAGCTCACCAGCTGCTCCTTGGAAACCCTATACAGGGTTGCTATTCATCGGAATCAACTCGACGGCACTTAACAAACATTATCAAATAATAAACAAGTAAAAACAATTTCATATGGTGAGCAGTGCTCTAAAGACAGTAAACAGGGTGCTACAAGGCAGAATGATTGGGTAGGGAGGGTTACTATGTCAGCAAAGATAATCAGATATTGCAAACAATGTATTACATTGGGCAAATCTGCAAAATACCTTTTTAAGGTGTTAAAAAGCAAAGTCCACTTTGAGGACTGAGATGCACCTGACCCAAGCTGAGGTGTTTTCACTCACCGCATGCCTGTGAAAGCTGGATAATGAATTAAGAAGACAAAGAAGAAGCTGTGCTTTGGATCGTGGTGGTTGTGGTGGTGGTGTGCCGTGGAGTCGGTGCCGACTCATAGCCACCCTGTACAGGGTTTCTGAGGATGTAAATCTTTATGGGAGCTGAACGCCTTATCTTTCTCCTGCAGAATGGCTGATGGTTTCAAACTGCTGACCTTGCAGTTCGCAGTCCGATTCGTAAACACTGTGCTACCAGAGCTCCTTAATTATGGTGGTAGTGAAGAAAATTTAATATACCGTGGATTTCCAAAAGAATAAACAAATCTGTTTTGAAAGAATAGCCAGAATGTTCCTTAGAAGGAAGGATAGCAAGTCTGCATCTCATGTACTTTAGACATGTTATCAGGAGGGACCAGTCCTAGGAAAAGGACATCATGCTTGGTCAGCAGAAAAAAAAAAAGGATGGGTTAACATCATGGCTGTAACAAAGGGCTCAAACATCTTAACCGTTGTGAGGATGGCACAGGACTGGGCAGTGTTTCCTTCTGTTAAAGGGCTGCTATAAGTAGGAACCAACTTCAAGGCAACTAACAAGAGAGGCCTCATTTTGATCTGACTTTAGATCTGAAACTCAGAAATTGAGGAATCACTTGATAAACTGGAAACAACACTTTATGAAGACCCAGGATTGGAGGAAAACTTATATTTCTCAAGAAACAAAGAATGTATACGGGTGTGGAAGGAGGGAAAGCGGTGTAAGAGGAGAATGAAGTAGGAGATGAAGCCAAGTGATACTCTGCAGTGCAGTTAGAAATTAGGAAGTGTTTGTTTCCTTTAAACGGACTGAAGGAATGCCACGTAACAGAGTGCACTTATCCATAAAAGACTTGGCTTCTAGTAGTAAACAGTTTTCTTCTGCAGATCTCAAGTCCTTAGGAATTTGTGTGTGTGTGGGGGGGGGGTGTTCTTTTCAAAAGTTCCTCATTTTTTGTATTTATGTCAAATAATTGGCATAAAACTGCAAAGACCAGATCTAATTTTTTTTTTCTAATTTCCAGTATTTTTTTTTTTTTTTAATCTGCCATGTTGTTGTTGTTGTTAAGTGCTGTGGAGTCGGTTCTGACTCATAGCGACCCTGTACAAGGTGTCCGAGGCTGTAAATCTTTCCGGGAGTACAAAGCCTCATCTTTCTCCCCTGGAACAGCTGATAGTTTCGAACTGCTGACCATAAGGTTTACAGCCCGATTCGTAACCACTATGCTACCAGAGCTCCTTAAGTAAAAAATATATTTACTCTTTTGGACTTGGTAGAAATCAGATAGTGGGCCTAAACATGGACAGAATAAATTGTGTCCAGAGAATGTTGTTTTTTCATGCAAGAAGTGTTCTGGGTTGTTGTTTTTTTTTGACCGTGGCATATGCTCATTTTCCTAATCTGTGAATAGAGTTGGTGCCAGAAAAGGAAACATTGTAAGGCCCAGTGAATTGAGAAACTATTTGATAACCTGACTTAAATTTTGATGAGTTTTAATCCAAGATAATGGTATTATAGGCGATTTCTTTTATCATTAAATTCAAGTCCTAGTGAGCCTCAGAAATAGCTAGTGATCACTGATGGATAGGATTTTGTTGGCATAATTTATTTGGATACTGATTTGATTCGAAGATCTCACATAATTTAAATGCATGGGATCAAGGGGAAATTATTAAGTTGTATAGCGAGGGCAGCAGTTTGTGTTTATATTTTAAGCTTCCTTAGTTTTGAAATGTGTATGTCCTTAAATAAAAGACAAAGACAGAATCTGAATGTCCTAAATTTGTAAGTGTGCTGAGAGGACACATTAACTTCTGAAATGACTTAAAGAGGTTGCTTCTTCTCATTGTCTGCTTTCCGTAAGCCTCTTGTGTTTAAACATTTTAGGTCATCTATAGTAAGTACACGGATCTGGTGCCCAAGGAAGTTATGAATGCAGATGACCCAGACCTGCAAAGACCCGATGAGGAAGCCATTAAAGAGGTAACTGGGAATAGGTGTATACAAGGGGGCTTCAGAAAGTTCATGGAACTATTGTAAAAAGTCAGGAAAAGGTTTTCACACTAAAACATTCTTTGACTGTTACCACGGGTGGCGGGAAAGAGTAATTACTGCCTAGAGACAGACACATGTTAAATTGGGTGAAGGGGAAGAAAATATACAATAAGTGTTAAAGGCAACAGAGGTAGATACTGTTAAATGCACAACCCTGCAATAACGGTGATCTGTGACTCGAGTTTGAACAGGTGTGGGAGAAAGAGTAGGAGGGGTATACTCATAAATATATAGAGATTTGACAGGCTATTTGTACATGTGTATTTACTTTTGCTGCAAATATATACATGAATGTGGTAAAGCATACACAGGACAAAGTTATGAACATTTCTTAAGCATAGTAAAACACATTAAAGAAACAAGTCTCCAGGCTTAGGAGCTCAGGATCAAGGTCTCAGGGGACACCAAAGGCAATTGGAATTACATATCCCACATAAACAGTGTTCTACATCCTACTTTGGTGAGCAGCAACAGGGGTCTTAAAAGCTCGTGAGCAAGCCATCTAAGGTGCAACTATTGTCCTCTCCTTGTCCAGAGGAAAGAGGAGTTAAGAAAATAGAAGATGCATGGGAACAATCAGTCCAGTAGATTAGTAGATCACTTGAATATCAGTCCCCATGAGAGCAGAATTAAATAGTGCCAGGCTACCAACTGCTCAGAGTGGGATCACATTAGAAGGCTCTGGGTAAAGTAAGAGAAATATGTGAAACACAACTCAAAATTACAAAAAGAACCAGGCTTACTGGCTGGATAGAGAGAGACTGGTAGAACCCCTTAGCCACCCTGCAGATCAGAAATGTACTTACCCCAATGATTCAATTTTCAGCCAAACAGTATATAGGCTTATAAGGGGAACAGTAACACTAGGGAAGTATACACATCTTATAATAATCAACCATTTGCGATCATAAAGGTAGTGTCTACGCAAGGACAGAGTTCAGAAGGGTAGGTGGGAAAGGGGAGTGGAAATGGGAAACAAAGAGGAAGTAAATGATGTTACATTATAGGGATTGCAATCAATGCCATGAAACAATGTATATGACCTATTCAATGGAAAATGGATCTGCTCTGTAAACCTTCGCCTATTTCATAATAGAAAGTTAATGGAACTTTTCTACAATTAAAAAAATTTTTTTTATAACTTTTAATTCCTTTTTCCATGAACTTTTTGAACATATACCCTTAGATAATTATTTCAGATGACTTTTTACATCCTTAACGACTTTCAGACCACTCACTGTGGTTTTCCTTATTGCAGATAACAGAAAAGACAAGAGTAGCTTTAGAAAAATCTGTATCACAGAAGGTGGCTGCAGCCATGCCTGTTCGGGCAGCTGATAAACTGGCTCCTGCTCAGTATATCCGGTATGAATCTGGCTTGAATGTCTTCTTTTCATTTCAGTCTGACGGGGTGGGGATAGCTTCTAATAATGTTTTACTATCCTACGTAATCACAGTTAAGAATGTAATAATTCAAAGCAGATAATTGAAAGCAGATGAATTTTTCCCTTAAATAACCACTTTCAAGATGCATAGCTCCTCTGTTTTGAAAATACAGTTTTTGTTTTAAGAAATTAATAATTACTTGCAGTGTCAGTAATTTGTGAGCTAAATCACAATTACTATTTTTAGTCTTCCATTTATAATAAACATCTTAATGATACTTCTAAATTTTGAGGGCTTTTACTCTACTGAATATTTGTGTAGATAGATAATTCAGAACTAGCGGCACTGCTACCATTATTCTTTTACTGTTTTACAATCTATTAGTAGTCAAAAACTACTAATTATATATTTCTTGCTAGGGATATTATGGGGTGTGGTTTGTTTTTTGTGTTTTTTTTTTTTTTCACAAAGGCCAACTTGAAAAATAGGTTCTATTTTTTATACCTCTTATCTATGAGACAGCATAAGCCTTCCATGATAAAAAATGGACAGAGATGGATAATTTGAAACTAAAACTGCTATAGTTTACAATTTGCTTATAACTCATAATTTCTCTTAGTTGCCTTGATCTCTGGTGTTATCTGTTTGGCCTAAATAGTTGTCATTTTTATCTTAATATTTTGTGGAAGGAATTGAAAATGTGTCTGTTTTAGTATTATAATAGAGAAAAGGACTCCTGGTGTAATGCTGTAGAATAAGCACTGTACTACTAGCCATGAGGTTGGCAGTTCAGATCCACCAGCTGCTCCTCAGAAATGCTATACAGTTTCTCTGTGAGTCAGAACCAACTCAACAGCACTTAACAACAACAATAGAAGAGAAGCACCTACTGAAAATACACAATAACACACACATTCTGTGTTTGTTTGCCAGCTGCACCCTCCTCCCACTAGGTGTGTGTAAGCACCACTCTGCCAGTTTTTGTTTTTCATGTTGCTGGCAAAAAAGAAACATTTCAGTATAGTGCATTTCTGAAAGGACCCTACTGGGTGGATGGGGGGAGCATTGAGGTTGGCAAACAAGTGTAGAAAGAGGTGTTATTCACATGAAAATTCAGTACCTGTTGAACTAGTTATTCTTCCTTTTCTATTCTGCAGATACACACCATCTCAACAAGGAGTGGCTTTCAACTCTGGAGCTAAACAGAGGGTGATTCGGATGGTGGAAATGCAGAAAGATCCAATGGAACCACCAAGGTTCAAGTAAGTAGGTAGTTTCATGAGAATGAGTCACTATTATTTAAAAATATATTAAAGGAGAAAGTATCACAACAGATTTATTTGAAGTAGCCAAAAACTAGAAACGTCCCAAATGCCCTTCAACAGGTAAATGACAAAATAATGTGTGGTGCATCCATACAGTAGAATACTATTGAGCAATAAAAAGGAATAAATTATTAATACAATGACTATTTGATAATTAATTAAAAGTATCAATGGATGATTCTCAGAATACTGATGTTGACTGAAAGAATCCAGACAAAAATGAATACATAATGTATGATTTTACTTACATGTGCGGGTGGCGCAGGACCAGGCAGTATTTCGGTCTGTTATGCATAGAATCACTATGAGTCAGAACCGACTCGACGGCATCTAACAACAAAAGTTGTTACTAAAGTAAAGTAATTTATTTAAAACTCTAGAAAATGCAAACGAATTTGTAGTGACAGTAGGTCATTGGGTACATATCACAATGGACAGTGGTGGCAGGGAGGAAGAGATGGGAAGAACGAGGGAGTTAACTGAGGCATGAAGAAGCTTTTGAAGATGGTAAATATATTAATTATCTTGATTGTGTTTCATGGGTGTGTACCTGTATCAGAATGATCACATTGTATGAGGGGGCTTCAAAAGTTTCATGAAAAAATTCCGCTGTCTTTTCATCTCACTTTGCCAAGAATTTTTGAAGCCTTCTCTTATACTTTAAAAATGTGTTCATTGTTCTGTCAGTTATGCCTCATTAAACTGTTTGTTTGTGTTTTATTCTGTGAAATGACAGTGGTATTTTGAAAGAGAGGTAGATATGGATGATGACAAGTTGGCTATGTGTAAATAACGGGAGACACTGAGTGATAAGTGTGTGGTAAATAGGTTTGTCCATTATAGGGTCCGTTGTGTTGAAGCTTTTACATAATAAAAAAAACTTGCCATATTAACTAAAGGAGGAAAAATTAAATCACTCTCTTGTGCCTCAATTTATCCTTCAGGATTAATAAGAAAATTCCCCGGGGACCACCTTCTCCTCCAGCACCTGTCATGCACTCTCCTAGCCGAAAGGTAATCTTTGCTGTGGTGATTATTAATTTTATAAATAACCTCCCATAGAATATAATCTGAATGTCTGTAAATTTGTTTTTTAAAATCAAATAGAAGCCCAATCAAGACTCCGAGGTGTAGTTTCCAGAATGCTCATGACAATGTACATTAAGTGCTAGCTATTAGTTTTATTATTAACCTAACCCGTGCTTTCAATGGAATGAGCAGGCCTGCTATTTCACATGAAAGACATTATCGTAGTTATAAGAAGTGAGTACATGGGTTCATTAGGTCTCTGATTGATAATCTAAATGGCTTTTTAAAGTCTATTTTATTACTCAACAAGTCTTCATCTGAAAGAAATGACATCACTTTAAATATGGGAAAATACTAGGTAGGATTTATAACTGTCAGTGAATACTTTCGACATTATTTTCCATTTTTTACATTAGTTTAACGCTTTTACTAGACACCATGATTTGATTAGGTCTAGCCGTGGATCAGCCCGTAATGAGCTGCCTTTGAAGGGAAAGGTTGTACTTGGATCTTTAGGTAGCCTATAAATTTTAAAATGCACCTACTTGTTTTTCTCAACTCAGATGACTGTGAAGGAACAACAAGAGTGGAAGATTCCTCCTTGTATTTCAAACTGGAAAAACGCAAAGGTAATTAAGTTGTTATAAATCAGTCTTAGTTTTATAACCTCCTGGGAAACACCCAGAAGAAGCCTACAACCTAGGTCCATTAGCTGAAACCTTAGCATCTTAGCTGAATGTTTTTAAAAAGTAACACCCAATTTATGTGACTTTCTCATTATAAAATGTACAATAAGTCCCTGGGTTAAAAAAGTCTGACTTTTAATTAGTGCTTGTGTGCCGCCAAGTCAGTTCTGACTCATAACGAGCCTATACAGTGATTCCAAGGCTATAAATCTTTATGGGAGCAGAAAGCCTCCTCTTTCTCCTTCAGAGTGACTGGTACATTCTAATTGCTGATCTTGAAGTTAGCAGGCCAGTTTGTAATCCACTTTGCTACCAGCACTGCTTGGGAGGAGTTCCTACTTTCCCTTTAATGTTATGTGAATTTTCCCTCACTTAGAGATGGTTGAATCAACTCCTGCTTGCAACAAATACATCACGATTACCTTCACTTGCTGCACGCACAGTTTTTAAATCATTGGAAAAGCCTGCAAGTCTTTTCTTGCACTAAAGTAAGGCTAAATAAGAACCACATATGTAGCTGTTCAACTTACGTACAAATTCTTAATGGTAATGGATCTCATTTGTAAACCAGGGGACTGTCTGTAATAGAAATATTGTATTCTATAAATAGAAGCATACCAAAAGCATTCATACTATATAGATTATTTTCATAAATTATACCTATCAGAGTACATGGAGAAGCAATATATAAAAGTAGCATACCAATAAAAGATCATGGTCTTTAGAAAACTCAATCTAAAAAATTTCTAAAATGGTATGACTAACAAAGTGAAGGTCGTGGATGTACTGTGCCTTCATTCTCAAACGATTTCTTTTTCTGTTTATAATGTTGCAGATTTGTTGTTATGTGCCGTGGAGTCGGTTCCGACTCATAGCGACCCTGTACAGGATTTCCGAGGCTGTAAATCTTTACAGGAGCAGAAAACTTCATCTTTCTCCTGCAGAACAGCTGGTAGTTTCAAACTTCTGACCTTGTGGTTCGCAGCCCAATTTGTAACCACTATGCTACCAGAGTTCTTTTGCAGACTTAGGCTATTTAAATGTTGATATGGCACTGCAGGATAAGCACTAGACTACTAACCGAAAGATTGGCGGTTCAAATATACAAGTCAATCCTAAGAAACTTCATACAGGGTCGTTGTGAGTTGAAACTGACTCCGTGGCACTTAACAACATGTCTCTGCTAATCAGCAAGATACTTAACATGTTGAATAATGTAGATACAATCTCTCATCACTCTTTCCTCGTTTCCTCAAATAATACTTCCTGGTTTTGTTTTTAAGGGTGAAGTAAGTCTCTTTAGCTCATGATTAATTACAAATTTTTCCATAAAGGATGTTTTATAATCATTCTAAAACAAAAAGATTTTTTGCTAGTCCAATTAGAGTAGCTTAGTAATCTGTAAGTAACTGCAGTGTCCTTGAGCTGATTGTTACACTTCCTTGTAGTACAAGTAAAGACTGAAATAGAGGTCGACATTTGAGAGTAGTCAAATCTGCAAAAATAAAGCTCATTCTGTTACATGGATGTTCAAGTTTATGGCTTGAGTTGTTGAATTAGGATGCAAATTTGAAGTCATAGAATATCAATTTTCTAGCAAACATCTCTTTTTATTTCATTTATTAAAATTCAAAATAGTCTATGAATCTAAGGCATTAAACCAATATAGCACAATACGCAAAACAAACCTACTGTCACTAAGCCTATTCCAACTCATAACAAACCCTATGTAGGGTTTCCAAGGCTGTAATCTTTACAGGAGCAGAAAGCCACCTCTTTTTCCTATGGAGCGGTTGAGATATTCAAACTGTTGACCTTATGGTTACCAACCCACTGTGTAACCCCACTAGGCCACCAAGGTTTTTATATAGCACAGTGGACCACTAAGATTATAGCAATTTTGTTCTACCTTTGTATGACTACTGTATTTACTAGAGGAGAATACTATTTAGCTATTGAATAGTTACTTTTTTTTTGTAAGCCAGATATTAACATGAGAATTTCTTTTTCTAGAACTTCTTAAGTCATATTGCCCCAGTTTAAATCCTAGCTCATCCACTTACTAGCCGTATGACCTTGAGGATATTACCTAAGTCCTGTACCTTCAGCTGTGAAATGGGAACAGTGTTATAAGCATAGGATTTCTGTTGTTGTTAGGTGCCCTCAAGTTGACTTTGACTCAGTGACTTACGTACAATAGAACAATATATTGTCTTGTCTTGTGCCATCCTCACAGTTGTCCTGTGTTTGAGCCCATTGTTATAGCCACCATTTCAGTCCATCTCATTGATGTCCCTCCAGTTAACATGTCCAAAAGTACATGAGACAAGTCTCACCATTCTCCCTACTAAATAACATTCTGACTGTACTTCTACCAAGTCAAATTAATTTATTCTTCACCAACACCATAATGCAAATGCATCAGTCCACCTTCAGTCTTCCCTATTAATTGTCTAGCTTTGGAATGCATATGAGGTGATTGAAAATACCATGGCTTACAGGGGACCCTTCATCCTCAAAGTGACATCTTTGCTTTTTAACACTTTAAAGAGATCTTTGACAGATTTGCCCAGTGTACTATGTCATATGACTTCTTGACTACTGCTTTTATAGGCATTGAGTATGGATCCAAGCACAATTAAATTCTTGACAACTTCAGTATTTTCTCTGTTAAAGGTTAAATGAAATATAAATATAAGCAGCCTTCCATACAAAGCAAGTAGTGTTAGAAGCTATTGTTACATAATTATAAAGAAAGACAAGAAAAATGACAAGTGGAATAAGAATGACAATAAGAATATATAATTTTAGTGAATGCTTTGCAGCTCTTTGTGACTGGTGTCTTCTGTTTGATTTCATACTAGGGTTATACAATCCCACTAGACAAACGTTTGGCTGCTGATGGAAGAGGACTACAGACAGTTCACATCAATGAAAATTTTGCCAAACTGGCTGAAGCCCTCTACATTGCTGATCGGAAGGTTGGTCTGCTGTAATTTGATTGTTTGGTGCTGTTGATAATGTACAAATCCATTCTTGGTTACCCAAGGCACTATGAATTTAGCTAGAGTGTCGAGTACATAGAGAGACTTGAAGCTATAGTGTGCCAAAGGTGGCAGGTGTGAGTTGCCATCCGTGCAGTCTAAGTTGCACTGCTGGTGCAACTCCTTCCCAACACACAGGAGCAGTGAGTCACTAGACTGAGTCTGTCTTCTGCAGATTGCTAGCTGCTCTCCACACTGCGTAAATTTCCTCTACTTTAAATGTAGTGTATGTAGCTCCCCAAGGGGCAGTAGCAAAGAAACACACATAAAAATCCTAATAAACTCAGTGCCACAGAAATGAGAATTTCCAGTATTGGCTATTATTTTTAGGGTATTGCTGTTAAGTGCTGTCAAGTCAGTTCCAACCCATAGTGACCCTGTATAGGGTTTCCAAAAAGCGGCTGGTGAGTTTGAACCATCGACTTCATGGTTCAAACAGACCTTGCAGTCCAGCACATGAACCCACGGTGCCACACCAGGACTCCATTAGTATAGTACTAATTTACATGTGACCTTAAAGTTCACATATATTATGTCCTGTGTTTAGAGAATAAAAAGGTATTATCTCTCTGTACAGTGAATGTCCTAATAGAAATTATCTTAGGTTTTTAACCTAAGTTAACTTGTTTCATTATGAAAACGTAACCAGTTATCATAAATATTACTGACATTAAAAATTGTCTTATTGGAATCTTGTTTAATGTTATTTTTTAGATTGTTTTGGAGGAAGCATTAGTGAAACACTAATTAGTGATCGCTTTAACCATTCAAACATTTCCCATAGTAAAAAGGCAGTTTGCAATGTTTTCTTGGAAGGTTATCTGTTCATGGACAGGAATCTTTGTTTGATTTAATCAGCAATAACAAATCTACACTTTGTATACCTATTCTTTTAAGCCTGACTGGGGGTTAGATGCTAGCTGTAAATATTTACCTGGAACAGTGTTCTGTTAACCTCTTGCTTATCTGACAGGCTCGTGAAGCTGTGGAAATGCGTGCCCAAGTAGAGAGAAAGATGGCTCAAAAAGAAAAGGAGAAACATGAAGAGAAACTTAGAGAAATGGCCCAGAAAGCCAGGGAGAGGAGAGCTGGGATCAAAACCCATGTGGAAAAAGGTTTGACATTCTCATTACTGAAATGAATTTCTTTGTAAACAATATATAGCTTATTTTAGAACATCTTTGTTTTGCATAGCCTACAAGGAAAAAGCATATAAGGAAAATTCAGGTATCTCAAATAGTGCAAAAATTTAGACATTGCTTTAGCAGAAAGTAGATTTGCATGTAGGGGATTATACTAAAACTTTTTTTTTTTGAGTTACATATGTTCAAAAATCACAATACTAACTCAAACTATACATATGGCTTTCTCTTGTTTTAATTTTGTTGAAACCTAGTAATGGTATCTGCAGTTTGATAATCCAGCTGCCACACAGATAAACTTATCCAGAGTTGTTCTATCTTGTGTACCTCTAGTCATTAACCTGCGAATGTTTCTTTGTAGTGTTACTTAGTGTTTAAGATAGGGGTGTTAATTCAATTAGAGTGCAAAGATAAATCCTAGTTCTAATTTAAGGAAATTAAAATTCCTGGAGTAGCACAGTTACTGTTTCATTATTCCGTTTATATTAAGTACCTACTGTGTGCAAGGTTCTCCTGTAGGCACAAGATTCTTTGCTAGACAGGAGTGAGGAGCAATGAACACTCTAATAAGCATTTTTGTTGTTAAGTGCCATCGAGTTGGTTCCAATTTATAGCAACCCTGTATAGGGTTTTAGAGGCCAAAAAAAAAGGTTAATTATGTGGTATCCAGCGGGGCTTCAGAAAGTTCATGGGAGTATTTCATTATCTTTTAATTCCATTTTCCCACGAACTTTTTGAAGTCCCCTTGTATCGTTATCATTGTTAAATGCCATTGAGTCACTTCTGACTCATATCGACCCTCTATAGTGTTTCCAAGGAATGACTAGTAGGCTTGAACTGCCAACCTTGCTGTTAATCATCGTTTATCCTGTAGTACCTCACCAGGACTCCCATGTATTTAGAAAGTATTAATCACAATGGGGAAACTAAATAGGGGAGAGGGGTGATCAAAATAGATCTTACAGCTGTGGTAGTATAAACACCAGGATTTGCAGGAATTGAAGAAGTGATCCATGTGGGTATCTGAGGGAAGAACATCCCATACAGAGGCAGAGCCAATGCCTAGTAACTGAATTGGGAGCAGTGAGGCCAGTGTGATGGGGGTGGAACAAGGGAGGAGGAGAATAATAGTAGGAGTAGCTGTCAAGAGTGGAATTTGCAGGGGGGATGGGGCAACAGTAATGGCCATGCTGCATGTGACCTATTAGCTAACAAGGGAAACAATTGAAGGGGTTTAAGGAGAATATGGTTTAACATATTTTTTGAGACTTTGGCAGCTGTGGATGGTGTGGCACTGTAGGATAAGCACTGGACTACTAACCACAAGATTGGCAGTTCAAACCCACCAGCCACTCCTTTGGAAACAGGGTCACTAGGTGTCAGAACCGACTCAGGCACTTACCATGGAAAGGCATGGGCAAAAGCAGGGGAACCATTTGAAAGTCTTTTGCAGTAATCTAAGAGGAATTATAACAAGAGATAATGAAAACATGATCAGATCTATATATATTTTGGAAATAGAGTTGACAGAATTTGCATATGGGTTAGTTAGAGGAATGAGAGAAAAAGAACAGTTAGGATGTCTTTGGAGTCTTGTGTATGGTGCCAAAGGATAAGCACTCAAACTCAGTCGGTTTGGACGGCAAAGTGAGTGGTTGAAATTCACTATCCACTTCTCAGAAACCCTATGTGAGGTCACTATGAGCCAGAACTGGCTTGACAGCACTTAGCAATAACAACGTGGATGACTTAGAATTATCCTTAGCAACTGGAAGGCTTAAATTGCCATTTACTAATATTGGGGAAGACAGCAGGGAGAACAGACTTGGGAGTAAAAGATTTGTAGTTTAACTGTGGACATGTTAAGTTTAAGCTGGAGGTATCTAGCAGGCAATTGCTTATAGATGTCTCAAGTTCAGCCATAGGAAATTAAGTATACAGTCTGACTTAATGAGGTAATAATACATGAATACCTGCCTGTTGTACACGTAAGCTGTCACAGAACCGGGATATGAATCTGGGATGTAAAGGTCCTGCTCTTAAGCACTATACTACTGGGTGTCCCCAGGACAGAAAGGGTAGAAACAAATGAACATGGGCATAAACAGAATAGAGATCAAGATGCTACCAGCCCCCATGGACCACAAGTAAAGCTTCTTTATTCAATAATAACCTTTGAAAATAATAAGGGTAAACTTATGCATAGTTCTTTTTTTCTTGATATTATAAAAATTTCAAATATAGAAATTGAGAGAATTGTGTAATGAATACATACCCATATCCTCACCACCTAGATTCTATAATGAATATTTTTTATACTTAATTTTTCTAGATTTTCTTTATCTCATATCTATCCATTTTTGCCTATTGATTAGTCTAACTTACTTTTTTGATGTATTTCTGAGTAAGTTGAAGCCATCAGTATGCTTTACCACTTAACATTGCAGCTGCAGGCATAACTGTAGAATTCACATTCAAATATCAGTGCTCTTAGCCTTAAAAGGCTGAATGTGTCTGCAAAAAAGTTTATGGAATTTTTAAGGCCAAAGACTATTATTTATTCTCTTGTTCAAAATATGAGTGCATAATACAGTGTTGAAGTAATTTACAACTGTCTCCACAGAGGATGGAGAGGCTCGTGAAAGGGATGAAATTCGGCATGACAGACGGAAGGAGAGACAGCATGACCGAAATCTTTCCAGGGCAGCTCCTGATAAGAGGTAGGTGCCATTTGGAATGAAAACAAATTATTAAGTGTCTTTTGTGTGCCTTTTAGAAAGGAGTTTCAGTCCACTTCTCTCCCGTTCCTCTGGAGTTTGATTAATAAATTAGCTTTCAGTTTCTTGCACATAACTACCTTGTCTTAGCAAAAGACTTAACCAACCTTGCAAGTAATCTTTTCTTCCATAACCTTAGAGAGCCAGTTAGAATCCTTAAAGATGGGGAGGTAGCAAAGGAAATTCAGATCAAGTTTGTGAAAGAAAAGCATTGAATTGGGAGTGTTCTGATCTGTTCTTTTCCTGCTTGAAATGGCAAGACAAATTTATTATGTACTTACTTCTCTAGACAGGAAATAAACTGCCATACCTTTATTGAGTTCCTTTTGCAAGGACAGTACTGAGTGCTGGGGAGAAGGATAGGTTTTGAAAGAAGTGAAAATCAACCCCTTCTTATGAGCAATTTAACCTACAATTCAAAAAGAGCTATCATATAAAATGACTTGAAAAAATGTACAAAGCACTCTTAGTGCGTATAGACTTGAATAGAACAAACTGAACACATGTATGGGGACATCAAGGAAAGGATGTCAGGTTCAGGGAAGTCATGGTTCCCCAAAGACCGAGGACATGGGGTTGCTAAAAAGTTGAGGAAATGTAAGTGATTCGGAATGCGAGCTAAATGCAAATATTAAACATTTTCTTCAAATATCAGCACTTTTCCATCCTCTGATCATCCTCTGAGCGTGAGCTGATACAATCTGGTTTAAGTCCAGTCTTAAACATGAAAAGTAAAGTTTTATTGTATTAACTGGCATGTTTTACCTCCCTGCATTTATAAGTAATAGGAGTTCTGGGTAAATATATTTTGTAAATTAAGCAGGAATGTAGTATGAAAGTGTACAAAGTAATGACACTCTTGGTTTGAAATTCCTAAGCTGTAAAAGGTAAGGTGGCTCTGTAGATGATACCTTAAAACCAGTTATAATGGCTGTGAGAATTGATAGATCACCTATAAATTTGCAACTAAAAATTGCGTTGCCTACAGAAATCCTTTTCAGATCTGAACTGATGGTGACATAAATGTGACAGTTACTGTGGTTTCATTGTGCTCCAGATTGCATACACAGAGAATACAGTGGGGGAGTTAAATTAAGTCAAAATCATACTTAGTAATCCAGTTATTGAAATGTTTTCCTTCAAATTCTAGCTGACTTAGGTAAAAGAACTGATTCTGACTTATTGAAAAGGATTCGTGTGATGCATCACATTTACATCTAGACCCTCCTTACTCATGCAGAAATGGCAAATGTAGACCACAATTCTTATCTCCGCTTATGTTGTGATTGATTGTCCTAAAAGAATTTCATGACAAGAATCTCTTGGCTTTTGAGCTAACAGAAAGCCAAATTGTAAACCCTTCTTCCTCTAATAATCCTATATCTGAAATGCTGTAAGGGCTGCAACCTGGCTCTGCATTATCTGGGATTATAGGAACATGGCATTCTCCTTTTCTCTGGTTGTATGGAAATTGAACTATCAAGTTTGTCTGTAAAGAGCTGTCAGTTACCAGTCTTGTGTTTCACCACAGGTCCAAACTGCAGAGGAATGAAAACCGAGATATCAGTGAAGTCATTGCTCTTGGTGTGCCCAATCCTCGGGCTTCCAATGAAGTTCAGTATGACCAAAGGCTCTTCAACCAGTCTAAGGTACGGAATGCTCAGAAATAGCATGTCTTGTGTATTGAACGTGTCCTAGATTTGTATTGACCCAAGGTATACTGGCATAATGCCGGTGAAAAAAGTCAGTGTTACTTGTTGTGACTCAAGAAATCAGTGTGTTCAAACAGCTGACTGCCCTTTACCGTTGGCCGTCTGAGAGCTGAGACACTATAAATGAAATTAGGTGGTAAAACTTGCTATGGGGATCTTTTTTTTTTTTTTTAAATAGAGCCAAGTGTCCTATAATGGTACTTCCTGCGTTATTTTTTTATTGATCTTTGGATGTTTTTATTATGCTCCATGCTTACCAGGAGGTTGGGAGTTTAAACCCATCCAGAACAAAGACCTGTTAAAAAAACCAGCCCAAAAAACCCCTATGGGGCAGTTTTGCTTTGTTACATGGGCTCACTGTGAGTCATAACCAGCTTAATGGCACCCAGCAACAGAAAACATAAACCTGGTACCTTCAAAAAGTTAAAACTATCAAACTGGATTAAACTACTAGGCTTATTAAGTACCTTATGCCAAATCGGTTCTGATCAGCAGCTGGTCGGTTTGAACTTGGATTAGCAGTCCAGTGCTTATCTTACAGAACCACACAAGCTGGTAGTCAGGATCTGATTTCTAGTACTGGTTGGTATTAATTAGGACAGGTTTACTTCTGAAGAGCCCATTAATTACTCCCGGTACAAAAATCACCAGGAAAGCAGGGAGATGCTGCCTTTGACTGCAAGGAACCCACTCTTCTATAGAAAACAGACATAAAGACAAGATAGACTATAGTAAGAATATTGAAATATAAAGTATTGCTGGAATATGAAGGGGATACTTAATGACTTGGAGGTTTTCGGAAGATTTAAAGGTAGCGTTTGAGCAAGTCTTTCCAGGTAACAAAAATTGTTGGGTAGTTTCTACGTGTCAGGTATTTTATTTTCATGTCTCATTAAATCCTTAGAAAAACCCTATCACAATTATACTATTATTGCCTCCATCTTACAGATGAGGAAATTGATATAGTAATTATAGCCCTTAGCTAGTAAATGATGAAACTGAGATTCAAACTAAAGCTTGTTTGTAATCACTATGTAACAGTAGCTTCTCAGATAGAGAAGATAGCCTGAATAAAAGGGGTTATGGGTAAAAGTTCTCAGAAGTCAAATTTTCAAGATACTCCTTACAGATTTAAATCATCTAAAAGTTGTGATGAAATTTATTTCTTAAAAAGACATGTCCCTGTTACTAATAAACTATCCACATATATGAGACAGGCTTATTTCTTGTTGCTGTACCGCATTTTGATTGTGCATTACTGTCTCATGTTGTAATAGAGATGTTCTCAAGCAGTTAAGGGGGGATGATGTTATTTTAGTACTGTTAAGTGGCATCAGAGAAATGTGTTATACATAGTTCTCCCATCTTCTTGCCTCCATGTCTATATAAATTGCAGTTGTTGAGTACCTGCTTAATGATTACTTTTGCAAAGGTAGTCAAACTTCTTGTTAACAAGTACCTTACTTAACAAGTCCTTACTTGGGTAAGGACTCAAAGGTCAGGTTAACAAGTTATGGACTTTGTGACTTTTTCCGACTCAGAACAATCGTGTATAGTATTTTCAAGAGTGGCTGGTGGGTTTGAACTGCAGGCCTGTGGTTAGCAGTCCCATAGTGTCACACCAGGACTCCTTTTAAATGAACTCCTTTTTAATTTTCAGTTTAGTTGTTGAAAATGTGAGCTATAGGTTCAACTTTAAATCGTGATACAAACATTTTCATGTCTTTTTCCACAGGGTATGGACAGTGGCTTTGCAGGTGGAGAAGATGAGATTTATAATGTTTATGATCAAGCCTGGAGAGGTGGCAAAGATATGGCCCAGAGTATTTACAGACCCAGTAAAAACCTGGATAAGGACATGTATGGAGACGACCTAGAAGCCAGAATAAAGACCAACAGGTACCAAGGCAGACAGTTCAGCTGACATGTTGACACTAGTGAAACCAAGGGAGTTCACAGTCCTTTCTCTTTTTCCCTAGATTTGTTCCCGATAAAGAGTTTTCTGGTTCAGACCGACGGCAGAGAGGCCGAGAAGGACCAGTTCAGTTTGAAGAAGATCCTTTTGGCTTGGACAAGTTTTTGGAAGAAGCCAAACAGCATGGTGGCTCTAAAAGGCCCTCAGATAGCAGCCGCCCCAAGGAACATGAACATGAAGGCAAGAAGAGGAGGAAGGAGTAGATGTACCTTTCTTCATACTGATGAACTGGGGTCAGAACCTTAAAGATGCAAGTCATGTGGGAAATACTTTGTAAATGGTCAGGAGACAAACCAAACCTGGGGGCCCGAGCCCAGCACTACTTTTTATTACAAGAGAAAGAGGGGATGGAAAATTCTACTTTGAACTATTGAGTTTTTTAGAGTGGGTTGTGTTTGCGCTTATCCCACTTTTAAGCGTTTATAGAACATCCTGCCCAGCACACGAAATTAAGACCACTTCCTTTTGCGTTAGACCAGTAGCTTGGAGTTAATGCGTTAAGGAAGAAAGACTACTTATAAACAAAGTCGCCCCAAGCTCAGTGAGTAGGAGGATGTCGACAACATACTAGAACTGTTGTACCTAATGAATGTTTGCCCCTATTGTGCTATTGACATTTGGAGTGGGGAAATGAGCTCTTGCTTGGTGCAACTCTTTCAAATAAAAACATTTAAGCAAATGTTTTAGTCACATTTACTTTATCAAACAGGGAGTGGTCGCCTCAAAACTCTTTCTCTTCATCAGATTCATGATCCCCTTGCAAAATTCTTGGCCTTTGAGCTTGAACCTGGAGCTGAAAAAAATAACTACAGTGAGGAAAGACAAAGTCTTAGCAAAACATTAGAACTAAAATTACCACTTGAAAGTTGCCTTGTTTAGTAGGTAGTTCCCTCCAGTAACTCAAGAAGGGTATATTCATTCCCTGTTTTCCTAAGAATTCCTGAACTTACTTCAAAACTTGTCAATCAAAACCATACCCATTACCACCCAGTTAGTTGAATCCACCTCAAAACAAAACAACCCAATAGGAGAGAACAGACCTGCCTCAGAGAATTTCCAAAGATGTAAATCTTTACATACACAGACTGCCACATCTTTCTCCAAGAGTGAATGGTGGGGTTTGAGCCCCCAATCTTAGGGTTAGCAGCCACTGCACCACAAGGGCTCCTTTTCAAGGTTACATGATAAGTAGAAAAGGCAGGACTTCAAATCAGCTTACCTGAATTGGAAGTAGATTGTTTTCTTTCGTACATTTTGCATATACCTTGTAACCATTAAGAGTTTTCCCTCCCCAAGGCTTTTAAATATAGGCAATGTACCACACCACTCTTGGACAAACATTAAGGCAGTTTGACCACAAATCCCCCAAAGTGCCTGTCATTCCACACTGCCAACCCATCTGATTGGTATAGAAAGCTCATATGACAGAGAAAGACTTACCTTGACTCCATCAATAACATGGTTTTCTTGTTGTAGTGCATTCTGAAGTTCTTCTTCTGAAGAAAACATAATCCAACCCATACCTCTGTGAAAGCCAGTCGCTTTGTTCTATACACAGAAAATGTAGAAAAAGATTCATCCTGAACCCAAGAGTTTCCATTGCACTCCAAATCAAAAACCAACTTGTACATGTGCAAAAATGGGATTAGAGACATTTCAGAAATGCCAATCATTTTGATTTCACTGTCCCACTTACCCAAGGTTTAGTTACCTGTATTACACATAAATACTCTCTTGCTTTGCTTCTGCCATTAGTGAAATAAAATAATGGGAAATGAGCTTGATGTAAAGTTGTAGATGCAAACAGCAGCAAAAGCAGTAAAGGGAATTTCTGATTATAAGAAATAATCTTTGTTTCTCACTGCTGACCCACTGCCATCAAGTTGGTTTCAATTCATAACAACCTTGTATAAGATTTGTTGTTAAGTGCAGTCGATTCCAACCCATAGCAACCCTGCAGAGGGTTTCCAAGAAGCAGCTGGTGAGCTTGAACCACCAACCTTACAGTTCAAACGACTTGGCAGTTTGACACATTAGCACACAGCGCAACACCAGGACTCCATATAAGGTTTGTTGTTAAGTGCCGTAGAGTCGATTCCAATCCAAAGCGACCAGAAGGCTGTAAATCTTTACGGGAATAGAAAGCCTCATCTTTTTTGCATGGAGTGGCTGGTAGATTTGAGCTGTTGACTGTATTAGCAATCCAGTGCTTATCCTACAAAAATTAAGCCTCAAGTGACATTTCTAGTAATTTCTGAGGCCAGCCACATGTTCCTAATGAAAATTAAGAAAGAAGATATACAAATACTACCCTTACTTACCTAATTCCAGAATTCTGGAATTCCCCTTCCACAATAGAGTGCTTATGATTCAACCCAGTCATCAGTACATATGATAAAAAGGCTCGTGTGTGCTTGGACACACTATCTACACTTCCGCCCTTCTAGGTAATGTAGATGGTCACAGCGTCCTATCTTACTACAAAGTTAAATTGACAATACCTCAAAGGTCACTTTATTACAAGTATTAGGATGCAGACCTCTTCCAAAGGCTATAAAAAAGGAAAACTTTCTGATGAGTCCCAGTGATTCATTTTTCCTTATATACAATTTCCAAGCCATCTCCACATGTAAAACTTATTGTAAAGCTTACTTTTGTGTCAAAACTTAGATACTATATATTCAAGATAGGAATTTGAATTTCCAGCTGGAATACAATGAATTTTGTCATGTGCCATCAGGGTGGCTCCATAGCGACCCTGTACAGGATTCCCAAGGGTAGCTGGTGGGCTCAAACTGCCAGCCTTGTAGTTAGGAGTCCAATGGGGTGCTTATCCTACAGCACCACACCAGGACCCCATACAATGAATTTTGATAACTAAAATTAATTTTCTGTTAATAATATCAAGAATCAACGTCTTCTGTTAACTCACCACCTGAAATTATCTGTACTTTTAAGAGGGGAAAAGAAACCATGAAAACTTGGTGTCCTTGTAGCTTTTTAAGAGTTCATAAAAAGCTTTCCAGATCCCTCATTCTTTAATTAACTGCATAGAATTCTACTGTATCAATGAATTAATATTTATAATGAATCCTATTAATGAGCATTGAAGTAAATTGCAGTTATTTGATATAATTAAACAATGTTGCTTTGAACACATTGACCATGCATTTCTATAAGATATATTCCTAGAAATGGAATTATTAGATGAAAAAAAAAAAATGTAAATCTTTAATTGTGAGAGATTTTACCAAACTACCTTTCAGAACTGAAGGTACCAGCTAAACTCAATCATATGAGTACCAGTCTCCTTACACTTTTCACCAGCATGAGTTGAGTAAGCTGTTCCATCAGTGGAAGCACCATGTTAAACCATGAGCTGAGTTTAAGTCACTTTAGGCTGATATACTTCATCGCAGACTTCCATGCCAGGAGGAAAAGAATCGGGGGCTTCAGTGAAGGGCATGAAACTACTCACATCCCACCTCAAAAAACCCAGTCATTCTAGAAGGCCCATAACAAAGTAAAACAACTTCACAGATTGACTTCTAAAGCCTCATGAGAAAACAAAATTACCTTATTAAATACTAAAATAATAAAAATATCACCTCTTAATGTGACACTAAATGAGGAGAGAATTTAGAATATTCTCCACTAATTAATTTTATGGTGTGGAACTATAGGATCAGGAATGGACTGTGAACCACAAGGTTGACAGTTCAAACCCACCAGCCGCTCCTTGGAAACCTTATCCAGGGTCCTTATGAGTCAGAACCAACTTGACGGAACTTAACAACAGCTAAAATCCTTAGCAGATCATTATAGGAGGCAGAATTCTAAACTGGCCCTCCTCCATGTTACCCCTCTTCAGTGTGGGTAGGATTAGTGACTTATTTCTAAGCGGTAATACATGAAAAGGGTAATAGGGTACCACTCCATCCATTAGGTTATATGGCAAGAGGGATGGAACGTCACTCCTACGATTAAGTGTCTAAGACACTGTCTTAGCTGGTGACCTAGCAACAACAAAATGCCTAGAGTAACTGGTGATGAGGGATTTCATATGTCTCTCAAGTATTATAATTTTTGTAGTATTTCCTTTCGATTTTCCTATGTTTTTGCAACTCATTTCTAATGTTGTTACACCATAATCTGAGGATTATGTAAAATTGAGGAGTCTCCACTCCTCACTGGCTTTAAAGAAGCAAGCTGCCATGTTATGAGACAGCATTGGAGCCCTAGGGTGGCACTGAAGGATATGTACTGGACCGCTAACTGCAAGGTCAGTGGTTCAAACTCACCAGTCACTCCTTGGAAACCCCACACAGGGTTGCTATGAGTCAGAACTGACCTAATGTTACTTAACAACATAGAGAGGCCAGGTAGCAAGGAAATGCAGGTGGCAGGGAGAAGCTGAGAGCAGCCCCCAGCAGAAAACCAGCAAGAATGAAGTCCTGTAGCAGCAAAACAAATTCTGCCAAAATCCTGAAGGAGCTCTTAAGTCCTATCTTTCCTCAATAGAGCCTCTGCTAAACCCATAACCCCCACTGACTTCTGGACTGAGACAAGACCTTGGACAGAGGACCAAGCTAATATACAAAACCTAAACAGTTACGAGCTATTACATGCCCAGTGATGTGTTATGCCAATAAAAACCTAACACACAAACACCTATGTGGTGCTATAGGATAAGCATTCGACAGCAATGTTGGTTTGAACAGCAAGGTCATTGGTTCAAATTTATGAGCCGTTCCTCAGAAACCCTAAATAGGATCATTCTGAGTCAGAACCAACTCGATAGCACTTAACAACCATAATTTTATCACTTAAGTGTTTGGAACAGCCTCATTCCACTGCTTATTATTATAAATATTATTATAAATATAAATTATTATAAATCTTTTAAAATCAAGAATTAAAGAGGAAGAGGAACAAACAAGATGGCGGATCGGGTGGAAGTGCAGTAAGGAGTTCCGTCAGCAACAACACAGAATACAGGGCCAAGCAGGCTCAGGGGATGGTCCCAGAAGTCTGAACCACATATAAAGGAATATTTAGATTAGAAGGTTTACAGCTAGGGGAATTTGTAGCAGAAGCAAGAAATCCACTGCTTTCTAATTCAAGATGCTCAGCTGCTCCAGGAGCCACCATCTTAGGTGAGACCAACCGGGGGAAGGATCAGAGCAGCCACAGACACCTGGCAGAACAGTAGAGATAAAGGTGTGGACAGTCTTTTCTTTTGGTATCTGATCACTGGTCCCTTGCTGTCTGCGCACCTCCATTATGGTGACTATAGGGTGCCCGAGCTAGTGGACACCTCAGCCCCACCCTCGGAGGGTTCTATTACACATGCACACAGATCTCCTCGAAATTTAAAGAGACAGTTTCCACTTAAAACCAAACGGCCGAAGCCAGCCCTGAATTGTTTATAACTAGAAAAAAAGGCCTGAACGGGATTGTGGAGTGGGACAGGCAGACAAAAAAGGAAATAGGCCGAGAATTAAATCCTAAGTTATGTCAAAACAACCAACAGTAGAATTGAAGAGATAGAAGCCAGAACTAGTGAGCTAGAAGATAAATCTCTCAACACTGCCAAGACAGAAGAGTAAACACAAAAAAGGATAAAAAAATCTGAAGAAGGACAACATGAAGAGGAATAGCTTAAGAATTACAGGCATTCCAGAACAGGAACAATCACACAAGTCCACAGAGGAGATAGTTGAAGAACTTCTGGAAGAAATTTTTCCTAATCATGAAAAATGAAAAGATAAGCATTCAAGAAGCTCAACAAACCCCAGGATGGATAGACCCTAAAAGACAATCACCAAGACATATAATAATCAAGCTCTCCAAAATCAAAGATA